CGGGAACATCACATTCCTGAGGACATCACAGACACACTTGTGGCCCCTTCCGAATGAGGCCATGTACACACTCATGGATACCCACAGGACTGAAAGCTATCTGTCCTTCAATTTGGGTTTTTAAAATAAGCCAGAACTTGCTTTGACATTTCATCATCCTCTTTCTCCTCCTCCTCCCCTTCTCCTTCTCCTCCTCTTCCTCTTGTGAATGCACTGGAAATCTGAAATGACAGAGTGTGTAGGTGATCTCTCAACCTTGAGCTTGTGTATTTGTGTCTTCGTGTGCGTTTGTCCTCTCATGCATGTTTTCATAACTAGGCTGGTTGGAACATGCTCAGTTCATTAAGTGACACATTTTTACTACCAATACTCCTGTTGGTTAGACCTCGATCTCCATAAGAAACTCCCTGACCAAGGACTTCAGCCTAAACTGGCTTCTGGCTGGAGAGGAGCGTACACACACAGCCCACACACCCACTTTGCATTTGTGTGCTGTCTGTAAATCATAGGAAGGCGATGAGGATGTGTAAGAAGCACTACATTAGTGATGGTGCAAGTGGAGACTATAAACAAAATCCCATAGTCCTGTGCAAAAGGTGGAACAAACCCCGGGCTTGCTTGGAGTTTCGATTTTATAGCTGTCCTTTACGGCCATCAGAAGGGCTGTTAGTATTGAAGTTTCCGTGTGAAAACTAATTTCATTGCTTCAGGTGTGAAACTTTCTGATCGATGACTTTTCCAGCTACAGAATTTCTTCTATATTGTTTGTGGCGATGTGATTGTTTTATTGCTAAACAGTGTGTCTGCGTTACACAACAAACACATGGGAGACTCTACGTGTGCAACACACACAGTCTCTTGCTCACTGTGGCACAGGAGCTATTTGTAGATGGCAGATGAACATTTTAATTTCAGCAGGTATATATTTTAATATATACCTTTAATTTATGGCTAATTTCCCAACTTTCCTTTTTAAGCAAGTCAATTATAGGAAAAAAATATTGAACAAAGAAAAATAGTGGCCAGCTCATAAGAAGAAAAACATTGTGACTATGGTCTATAAATGACCCCAGATTTGGAAACGAGCCACATAATCATATGAAAGAAGATGTGGGATCTGGGTTGGTTTCTGCAGTTACTGAACCAACCTGGCGGCCAGTGCCAGAGGAGTGAAGGCTGCAGGTTGCTGCCTTGGGAGCCTGCTACCCACGTGACACTAATTGGCCCACACAGGAGTGAAGCTGTGACTCATCCCTCATTAGCCACATGCTCACATCAGCTGAGCTAGCTCACGCAGGGTCACTGGGGTCCCTTGTAGGAAATTACCATTCCAGTGCCCTGTGGCCCTCTGGTAACCCCAGCTAATGAATGTCCCGGGGAGTCCAGTACAGTTCCTAGGGGAGCACGCCGCTCTCCCAGAAGCAAAGTTGATTTTCTGAAGTTTTAACCCAGGGATAACCAATCAAGGAAGCAAGGACAACTTGGGAAGCGGGGAAACAGTCTTGCTAACACTGGTGTCCTGGAAAGAAAGGAGAAGACAACATGGCTCTGTCCATTTCTGCTGTCATGGTGGAACTTGGTCTCAGGATTCCAAGCAGAAGCACAGGGAAGTGCTGTCGATCCTCCTGCGTCAGGCATAGACGTCTAAGCATGGCCTGCGTGGGCCCGCGCATTGCCTCAACAGCCTTTGAGGCAGGTGGTGTTATCCCTAAGTTAGAGATCAGGAGACCAAGCTTGGAAGTGATCAGTGAAAGCCACAGATCTCCCAGGACTACAGCCTTCCAGGAATGGACACACCATCAAGGTGAAGGGCGGTTTCCTAAGATGGGCAGGCAGTGTGCCAAACCCTCTGCTGTGCCCCTTTTATGTCTTAGAGGAAGACTAGAGGCCTTCAAATAATCTTACTTCTCTGTGGCTTTAGCACTCCCCTGTTTATCCTGGAGAAGACTTTGATTAGAAATATTCATAGTCAAAGCCAAGAGAAAGCGTCCTTCCCAAGTTGTGGGGATTCCTGGAAAGAAGGGGATGGTGGACTTTCTTGTTCTGTCCTGAAGAGCTGGGAATAACCTGTTTATTCCATCTTTTAAATGATCAATATTCTTTCCAGAGCCACAGAAACTCATGGGTAAACTACCACCCAGTATTCATTCGACAGTTACTCTTCCCAGAGCCCCTGAGGGTGCAACTTCTCAATCCAAGGAGCATCCACTCCTGGCCAAAACACAGTGTGAACTGGAAGGTACTAGCATGCCAGGCAAACCAAGCCCTACTTTAACCCAGCCCTCTGGTTTCTGACTAGGCTGAGAGGATGACTTGGTTTACCCTCAAAGTGTCCTGGTTAATGCCTGAGACCTTTAATAAAGATGCAACTGGCTACCAATAAGCTAAAGAACCAGAGAGATCTGGATAGAACCTGTTACCCTTTAGAGCAGAGATGTTGGTAAATTACTGGTCCTTAATGAGTTTCAGTCCTCTCATGAAGAGATGTTCTTCTGATGGTGTGTTATGGTCTCTGTGTAACTGTCCTCCAAAGGCCTCATGTGCTCATGGGTGGAGCTTTTGGAAGGTGTTACAGCTGAGTTGCTGTTAGGTGGTGGGTCTGCTGATGACCAAAGGCCCCTGGGGTGTGGCCCAGGCAGGTGTTTCTCTCCTCCCCACTCCTCCTTTCAGTCTCTGCTTCCAGGTGGCCAGGATGTGAGCATTCTTCTCCAAGCAGGTCCTTCTTCCATGCCTTTCTGCCTTGGAGCCAGCTGACTATGGACTGAACCCCAAAAAGCCCTAAGTCAAAATAAACCTCTCCTCCCTTAAATTGTGGGTGTTGGGTATTATGTCCCAGTGAAGAAAGCAACCAAGACATGGTGGCTGCATCTGAACAAAGAAATGCATGTAATATGCTCTGCACAAGGCCAATACACTTGAAAAAGGCAATTTCTTATTGCACAATCTATCTTCTGCTCCTTTAAAAAGTCAACTGAAAAAAGTCAAAGTCGACTGAGTGCAATATGGTATGTTACCAAGAAGCAAAAAGACGTAAGACAAAGCTCTTTGTCAGAGATACAGTCTGACTACTGAGAATCCCCAGTGAGCCACGTGGGAAGGGTGGTTCTGCAGGCTGGTACTATCAGGTAGTAGGGTGGCATTTGAAAGCCCGGGGAGAGGTCTTTGGGTTATGGAAGTGTGCCCCCAAAGGCATCCTTGTAGGACTCTAGCCGTTTCCCCCTTTTCTCTGTTTCCCTGCCATGGAGTGGTTTTCTCTGCTGCCTGCTCTGCTCATATGCTGCCTTGCCACAGGCATAAATCAATGGGGCCAACTGACCATGTACTAAACTTCCAACACTGTGAGCCAAGTAAACCTTTTCTAAATTGACTATCCAGGCATTTCATTATAATGATGGAATGCTAACACACTTAAAATTTATTTTTACTTAATTCCTTTGAAGACCAGTTATTTATTTCACATATTGAATTCCTCTGCACCATGGGCTGCTGGAAAGTGAGGCATGGAGGATAAGGTCTCCTTAAGGCCTTGTCATGACATACTAGGAGACAGGATAACTGTCCCTCCTCTGCCCACTGTTCCTGCTGAAAACAACTGTTTCTCTATTTAGTACAAAATTATCTGGACTCAAGAGCATATTTGCTTGCAGTCTTGGAGTTGAGTTGCAGTCACAGAATCATAAGAGAGCTGCAGTCTCTCTCACAAATTGTCTTTCACGAATCAACACTGGATGAAGTGCATTCTTTTAGAGAGATACAGCTGCTGAAAAACAAGGGCTTCAAAACAGTTTCTGAAGGCAATCTCTTGGCAGCAGGTGGGAAAAGGGCCAGGGTAGTATTCTAAGAAAGCAGGAGCCCTCTGATATGAGAATAGCAAGAGATTTATTTCCTAAAACCAGAGGTGCTAGGAGAGCCTTCTCTTTATTACTCTTTTCTAAGTACTGTACATTCAATACCTAAAGGTCATCAGTCCTGACCTTCAAATTTGGTAAATTCAACACTGGTTTTTCAAAAAGTTGGCTTTTCAGTTGAGTGGATTAAAGCTTGTTTCTCCTCAAACGTTTCAGTCCAGACTGCGGGCATCTAAGGATAAACCACTGCAGAGACTAGAGACTGGGAGTCTTGGGTCCTTCTGGGACGTCCAGGTAAGCAGTTTTCTTTAACTCACTGCCACCTAGTGGTAACTGAGCAGATTAAAAACTCTTGATTAACTCTAAGGAGGGAATGTTTTGTTCCTTCCAATCCCATCCAGGAAGCACTCCCTTGCCAATATTTAACTATTACTGTATATTTTAAGTGGGAAGCTATCTGACTCTTGTGCCTTTATTTGGATCAGTGAGGACATTCTCCTTTAACCAAAACTTTGTGACATAAAACAGACAAGCAAGGACCAGACCAAGAGCCTTGTATGGAGGCTCAGTCCAGGGAATCCAGTAGGACCTTTTAAAGAGGGGAACTGGGCCTCGACAGTTACCTTCGGGTTTGCCCTGCTGAGAACTGATGTGAGTTTTGTTTTCTTTACAGGTAAAGGTGGAAGCACACACAACAGATAGAAATAAGTGGGCTAAATGTGTGGCAGCTCTGCTTCCTGTACATGCACAGAGGAAAGGTGGTGGGAAATTCACGTTTCCTAGAAGCCGGTGATGATCAATTAGGGCAACGTGGCAACACACTCGGGGAGCAAGGCAGATGGTGACTTTGGCAGACTGGGAAGAGAATGGATTAAGGCAGTGAGCGATTAGATAAATTCAGAGTTACTATTGGGTTGGGCTTGGAAGACAGAATGAATAATGTGAGCGCAAACCCTTTTTCTAGCCGTAAACTTAGGGGGAAAATCCTTCAAGGATGGTGATCTAGACGTATGTGCCTTGGTGCAAGAAGGTACAAGGTCACCATAATAAACCTGCAAGAACGCTTCTAGTATTTTTAACTTTCTAGGTGGGGTCTCCTAGTAATGGACTCCTCCCCGCTGTCCCCTAAATTACCAGTAACAAAGCAGTCAGTACAGTAATAGAATCATATTTATTAAAGTTTCAGACCTTCATAAGATACATACCTGAAGCAGAACATTGCAAACCAAGGTAACTAGCAGCAATTTTTCCCCAAACAGAAAAGGATTTGGTTAACCAAATGATCAGGAGTAATATAAAAATGAGATTACAGTCAAAGGATTTTTCTTCTAGCAGCTAGTATATGAATAGTGAAACTATAAACAGAGAGTAACCCAACTTTAGGCTTGTCTAGAAAACTTAGTTAAGTCAATATTGCCAAATAGGAGGCTGATGTCTTCAGATGTCAGTACAGAGTGAGCCAATCGCTTTTAAAAGCATGGCTGTTTAACCGTCAGGACAACAGAGAAAGAAGTGGATAGGTGCCCTAGAACCTAGCTCAACATAACTCAGTCAGATAATCATAGTTCAAATAATATCCCTGAAAACATTTGCAAACTTTTTTTTTTTTTACAGTTCTAAAAACAACATCAGACATTTGCTGCAAAAAACTAAAATCAAAAGCAATTGCAATGTACTGGGAGTAGCTTTTATAACCTTCCTAAGGGACAGTTCTCATCTTTTCAGAGAATGTTTTTAAAGGAGCACTGATTCTGGCAGCTTATTAAACTATTTTTTCTAAATAAATAAAAGACCAATCGAAGGTGTTAGGTGTTATGTTTCTTTCCCTAGATCTTTGAACCATCCAAACCCTTCCTTGATAGGTTTCATTTTAATTATAAGAGTGCAAGGGAACATACTAACATTTGAAAAATGCTCAAAACAGTAAGGGTAAAAGAGCCCCAACCCTTCTTCAGTGCCCTGAAAATCGGTTTAGGAACCCCAAAGGCACATCCTAAACCCATCAACTGAATTTGCCACAAAGTGCCGACAGACTGTGTACCTTTGAACACAAGCCCACATAAGATGTCTCTGCTTCACATGCACTAAGAAAAACCTATGGGAAAAGAAAGAACATAAGCTGGCGAACATAAGCTTCTAAAATGGGGCCGACTGCTTTCTATATGTGGTCGGTACAGAAAAAGAAAAGTTACAAGGACTGCAAACTATTATATTCATCCTGTGATTCTCTTCTCCTCCATGAACCCTGACCTTCCCACAGCAGTCACTTCACTCATGGAAAACACACAAAAGAATGCAAAGCTCTGGGGCAGCACCGGTGGCAGCCAGCTGTCTTAGAATGATTTTTAATGTTTTTCCTAAAGGTAAAATTCAGAGAAAATTTAACAAGTAATTTACAGAACCAATTCTATTTCACAGCTTTGCCCTTGTTGGCTGCTGTGGAAATAGTATATTCAGAAATACATATACCCACTTTCTACTAAGTTAGGTTTCTATTTCTCTTTCTTTCCCATTTTTATTAGTACATGTTTGTAGTACACGATTACATTGCTCACGGGGAGCTGGTATGGGTACACACCACAGCTGCATTCTGTTTTCATCTTCTCTCCCCGCCCTCCAGCTTCGCCCTGCATGTCTCGGTCCCCTTGCCGTTTGTTTCTTTTTTCTTAAGGGGTAGAAGTGGCACATACAAATGTCTGTGAGGCTTATGCGAATGAGGGCAGATCACATTTCAAGCCTGACAGTCTCTAAAGGTACACTGTGCTTCACAAGGACCTACAGAATTGCTCCTGACCCCGCAACAACCACAGTGACCATTTCTATGCACCACATTGAAATCTCATGTTTGCCAGGCTTTGGACTGGACACACATCATGAACAGACAGCGAGGTGCTGACCAGCCCAAAGCCACCTGCCTCAGATGTGCTGACTCCGACTGTTTCAGAATTAGCCTGTTTCTGGTCATACACAACAGGAAGCGTGAACATTTCCCAGGTACTGACTCAAACAACCTAAGTACATGTCCTACTGATGGGAGAGCACAAGAATCACTGCTGCGTACAAAGACTGGCACCTGAAATTGTTCTGGGTACAAAACTCTATGTTGCACTTCTTAACACCTGTCATCGTCTAACTAAGTTGGTACATCAGAGAAGAACACCTGCCAACTGCACAGGTCTGCCCTGTGAATTGTCTTGAAAACATAGTCATTGTCTAGAGATTTCTTTGAATAACCAAGTTGGATGTTCCAAAATAGATGCTATTCTTAACAAGTTTCCCTACCCTGATGCCTGGGGCATTGTTCTGTTGCATTTCAGCTGTGTAGGCCCTCCAGTGATTTCTGATTCTCTACCATTATTTCCCCTTTTCCTGGGAAAATGTCAATTATTTCCATAGCAATTTACAATCAATCAATCAATCAATCAATCAATCAATCAACTACTATGCTGGGGATCGAACTCATGGCCTTACACATGCAAAGCATATACCTCCACCGAGCTACCTCCCTAGTCAACCCTAGCAATTTATTATAATGACCTAGACGGTTACAATTTTCAAGCAGCAATACATTATTCGGGTCTATTTTTTCAGTTTTGAAAAACTTTCCAATAATAAAGGCAGAATTTTAAAAAATGGACTTCTCTAAAAATAATTATCATGCTTTATACAAAACAGTACACTTACTAAATAATACTCATTTAGGAGCGTTGCTTAAACCACACAAATAAACAGGGGCAATATAGCACATAAGACAGCACACAGTTCAAAGTTTTTTCATGTCATGTTGGGAGAAAAATTATGTGCACACAAGAAAGTTATACATAAACATAAAAACTTATATGTGTTTAAAATAAATCAGTCTAGATTTAATAAGGCAATGGAATGCAATGGAAATTATATTTGTTTTTATTCCAAATTTCTACTTTATTGGGAAAATAGAGTATCACAGCTTCTAACTGAGGGACAAAGAGGCAGACATGAGGCTGGCAGGGGCAGCTAGCAAGGAGATGCACGCAGCACTGCCCGATGATCTAATGAAATACTGTTAATTTGAGAATTAAGATTGCTGGACCCACTAATGAGAACAGAGTTTAGACTGGCAGATTACAAAGACAGTTGTGATCTTTAGTTTGTAAGTGGAATCTCTTAGAAACTTTAGTGCACCTCATATGACTCTAAAGTGTACTTTCAAATACATCTACAAATAAAAACAAATTAACGGTAAATAAATAAAGACTCCCACAAATTCCCCTTTGGGGATGTGCCATTTTTGGATACTCATTTTCCCTTTGGTATTGTATAAATCTTCCTGATAATTATCAGAAATACATCAGGGCTGGGATGTGGGGAGAGCAGCAAAAGAAACCACAATGCCATTGTCCTCTTCCAGAAGATGTTCTCATCCCTTCCACTGTCCCTTTGGGTGGAGGAATGGAACACGGAAACTAGTTGCTCAAGTTTTCACTGCCTTCTGGTGATCGTTACTAGGGCCCAATGTGACACTTAGGAACACTTCTTCCTTGTTTAGCACCTGCCCTGCTCATAAGATGTAGAATTCTTACAGAGCTGTGAAATAGAGTAAAAATTACTCATGGCACTTAAAACACATTTGGAGATTGTAAAATGCCTTCCTAAAATTTTTTGTCACAATGCCCTAGTGAGGTAGGTGTCTTGACAGGGGAAACTGAGGCACAGAGGGGTTAAATCTGCTCACCTTTACTTGTCTAATGAACCAGCAGTTTAGCTGGAAGAACCAGGGATTCCAGCTCCCTAACCCTTATTCACCTGTGTCTCAGAAGACTCAACCTAAACAACAAATGTAACAGGGGAAATATCTTTTTCATACATTTTAACCAGTTAGCTGTTTCTTCCCACTTTGAATATAAGTTATCCAAGACAAAACATATACAAACAAAATAAAAAGTCAGTATTGCCTAACAGTCTGTGTCAAGATGCAGCCTATTCTGCACTGGTGATTCAGAAAGCATGTAATAGCACAGTTTAAGTAGGAGCAGCTCCTGTAAACACTGACTCCAGGGAATAGAACCGCCACCACTGCTTCAAGGTAAACCATTCTGAGAGAGACTACACGAGGCCAGCCCGTGTGGAAAGGAGACTCTCAGCCGGGTGATTCAGGTGTAGTACAGAGTTCATGCCAAACCCTTCGAAGCTAGCATGACAGTCACAGTCTCCTGCTACGAAGCGCATGGGACAGTTTCTGTTATATACAGAGGGGCAATACCACAGGGGACATGCACTAGCACCATGCCACAGAAGTCAGCATGAAGGACGACAGCCACCGCACACAAATCACCGTCTCCTCCGCTTTGTCATCTGCAGAGGCTACCTCTGGTGAGGGGAAGACCGATGAGGTCCTGTGCTCCCTTCCACAGCAGGGAGAGAGACCAAGACAGCGCACTCATCGCTGGCTACTTGGGGCACACCCTATCTCAATTTTACCCCATGTAACTCTCCTGGACCTTAAAGATACTCAAAACATTTCATTTCTTCAGTGAGAGAGAATGGTGTTGAGCAAAATATAAAGATCAGTTACAAGAGGTGGGTGCAGGGATCCAGGACAATCTACACTGCTATTCTCCGAATTAAATTTATGAGTGTGTGGGGCACTAGCTTTTCAAAATGAGATCATGCGTTGAGATAGTTTCTTTCCATAGTCATTGAAGAGTGAATTCCACTCATACTGTGATCCCTAAGTACAAAATCTTATACATTTGGCATGTGTGACTGAAGTAGACCATGACACCCAGTCAGATGCATGCTGTACTTATGCATGGCTTCTGCCTTGATATTCACTCAAATGTCCACCCTCCCAAGGCCTGTCCTCTCCTTGAGCTCATCTTCCAGAGGCTTGAGCCTGCTCTGTCCTCTGCATGTGCCGGACCACAGGGAATCATACCAACTCAAGTTTTATTGGGATACTAAGATATAGCACAGTAGTAACTCATGCATTTTATACCTAAAAACCAAAGCTCAAAGGAAGCTGAGCTGGTTACTGTGCAAGATGAACCAGCAAGACATTCTCACCTCGAATAAAAATCTGATTTATGTGTCGAGTGAATACCTGCTGGTAATCCACCTTGGGCTTTCGCTTTTTCTTACGGGGCTGTCCCCGGGAAAGGGTGGTGGCCCTGGAAATGGTACCTCCCACACTGGACCCTTCTGTCCTTGTAGTCCTCCCTGACAGCTCAGACCTGGACTCCTCCCTAGCAGATGCCTGTAGGGAAGAAGGAACAGAACGGGAACGCCTGCGGGAGCCCCGGTCGGTGTCTCCTCGTCCCCAGACTGAAGCCACCTTCCAAGTAGATGTCTGCGAGTATCTGGACAGAGTGGAGTCTTCTACTGCAGACTTTGAATCTGCTTCCTTCTTGGAAGAATCTTGTAGTTTCAACCGATCAAACAGCTACAAGGAAAGCAATGAAAATATTAGCCTTTTCTCCACCCATCAACATCCCTCTTTTCTATTTAGAGAAAAAAGCAGCTTTCTTAATTATGCTCTTTGGACTCCTTGCATTTCAATTTTTAACAAGCTAGTAATAACTTTTCTATTTCTAGCCATAACTCAGATCAGCATCAAGAGAAAAGGCACCTTCGTATTTCTGTGATGTTAAGCTGGAAGCCTTTCACATCTTATACTAGAGGTAACCCGTGATTCAGATATGCCAGTTAGAAGCCCAGAGGCACTGGAGATCAGCATGACAGGCGAGACTAACGAAGACTCCGTACTGGCACACTTGGTTTGGGGGTAGGGGTTTCTCTCCAGGACACCTCACTGACTGGGTCAGTGAGCTGGGAAGGAGATCGGGGACTACCTACCCTCGTGAGAGTCAGCGAAGAATCCCGTTCATATGCTTTGCCTAGAACAGGTTTTCTGTAGGTCTCATCCACATCAGTAAGTGCCTAGAGGAGCAACCCAAAGGGAAAAAAGGAAGCAGAATTAAAAATACTACTGTTAAAACTTTTTTGGGGAAAAAAGGCAGAATATCTAAATGGAGCAGAACTAAACAGGTAACTGAGCTCTTGGATGGAAAAAAAAAAAAAAAAGGCAATACTCAGCACTTTCTGCTTAGGCCTTCCGAATTGCTATCACGACAGTTTCTCCAACGCATGGTAAGGTTCTTTATCACTTCATGATAGAGGGACTTACATTTCAGTGTACATAAATATCCAGGAAGCTTACTGAAATACAAATCCAAGGCTACTCTCTAAGGCTCTGATTCAGTAGGTCTGAAATGAGGCCCCAAAACCTTTTAAGCCAGAAACCCCCAGAGATCTTGATGCAGGACGGCTGTAGACCACACTTTGAGAAATACTACTGCTTTTTTACCCTCCTCGATTTCTGTATCTTATGACTACAATTAACAAAGATTAAGCAGAGTTACAGGAAGAATTACTGGTAAGTTCTCTGAGCTCAACCTCACAGAACAACTGCTAGGGTCAAATGAGATTATGTAACATAAATTACTCTGAAAAAGGCAAATCATCCTACAAATAAAAGTTGGTAATGTTAGTATCATCATTATCAACAAGTGTATTCCCTGAAATCCTTTCTCCTCACAGGTAAAATTAAAGTAAGAAAGTATTTCCCCCTACAGGGAGATAGATGAAGTTCAGAGTCATTACCAAAGTTACCCAGTAGTGAAGCTGGGATTTAAATCTACACCCAAGATTTGAAGCTAGAATTCAAATTCCATAATGGTTGAAAACATGGTCTTAGGAGTAAAAAAGACTCAGGATAAAGTCTGAGCCGGTGACTTGGGTCCAATGTTTCAGTTCTCTGAACTCAATCTCTTCATTTGTGAGATGGGATAGTAACAGGACATGAGGATGAACAGATGGGGGTACAGCACCGGGAGAAGGAAAGCTGGAGATGGAACAAAAGCACTAGAAATCCTGGGAGTTGTGTTAATGGTCAGATATTACAGCTGCGCTAGCACGTGCTCTTTCCCTCCTACTAATGTCTAGCGAGACAGACAGGACGCTTCTATCATGCTGGGAGCGTGTGGCACAGTCTTCATAAGTGAAGTTCTCACAAAGTGTTTTGCTTGTTAACATCTGTTTCTTCCCAAATCCTGTACCTACCACCAGGTCCAGCCAAAGTGGGAAACCAATGAAGATTTTTAAATGAGTAAAAGAATGATTAGCAGGAGATAAATTTAAAATCACTAAACCGGATAATTATTCCTGCAGGCTGGATTTCTCAACCTTGACACTAATGGCATTTGGGGCTGGATAATTCTTTGTTGGGGGCTGTCTTGTACATGGTAGGATTTAGCGGCATCCCTGGTCTCTACCTACTAGATACCACCAGTTTCCTGTCCCGCAGATGTGACAACTGAAAAAACCCCCAGATACCGCCTAATGTCTCTAGGAGGGAGGGAGGAGCAAAACTATACTGCCTCGAGGAAGGTGGAAATAAAAATAAAGGAGGCAATACAAATATTTTTTTGTTGTTATTGTCCAAAAGTGCGTAAAGGTTTTAGTTCTGAGAAGTTATTACGTAGTTTTGCTTAATAAGGCTACACAGGTCTTTAGACATATAAAATATTTAATCTCTAGTAGATTCTCCATCCCCCTTGAGAAAGAGTAATTACCATATTCCAGAACTTGTCAAACGCTACGAGGAAGCCGGTACAGACGCCCCGGAGTCCCTTGAAAGTGCGGATGTGAACATTCACCTTTACCCCCTCGCGGATGCACCGATGGAGCTCTCCCAGGGGGCTGCCTTCGTGCACTGCAACAAAGGGACAGTCAGGACAGCAACAACATTACGGCCTTGAGCATCCAACCATGTCCAGCAGAACAAGGCAGCAAGCACAGGAATGACCTCACTGTCAAAACCAGAAGGCCCAGTGAGTGACAGTGACTTGCACAGCCAACACGCAGGGACACGAGAGAGATTCCAACAGAAGGTGGGTAAATCATATGCACGGGCAGCTGTAAATATGTCCTTTTTTCTGTGCAGTCCCTGACTCTAAGATGTATCATCACTTAAAAACTTCTGTGAACAAAAAATACCACATTAACTGTACATGTCACCAGCTAGATTCTTCTCATTTCTACACCTTAAGACAATTCTTTTTTTAGCATAATTCTCGAGAAACAGATACCAAAAATTTTGATCATGTTTTTGAAGCCAATGAACTGTGTAACTTATCTGCCTTTAATACAGCCATGCTCTCAAACAGAATGGCTTTTTGGACCCACAATCTGACCTATGCCATAAATAAGTTCTTGGGGTCCCTGGTGTTACAATGCACACAATCTTGACACTGGGAGGAAAAGGAGTGGCTGTAATCCAGCCCTTGATGGTACAAACGACCCCTGCGCATGAGCATCTGGCTCCTAGGAGATCGCTAGTAAGAGTCACATGCAAACAGCACTATACCAACTTCATGGTAAGAATAATGGGATTACAATTTTTCAGTTTTCACTACGAACTTCTTTTCTCAGAACTATGGCGAGGAGATGGATTTTTCTTACTTCATGCTAAGTTAGCTCTCACAATATACTGGCTTTAGCGCATAGAATCTCTCAAAAGAATACCACTCACCTCTCCAACAAACATACAAAACCCTAACACACAATGACTGCCTTTTTTCTCTCAAATTTGTGAGGCAAAATTCTTCGGAGAATACTTTTCATCGTTACTAAACAAAACAAAGTAAAATAAAATAAAACAAAAGACACACCTCTCTCTTGATTCTAGTGGCTTAATAGAGAAGAGTCCAGCATTTCATTTGGATAACTAAGTTGGTTCCTTTTGACTACTTTATCCCTTATTCATTGACATATAGCTGATGACCATGATTAATGAAAGCAAATACTATTGGAAGAAAATTACTCAATAGGTGAAAGTAGGAATTTGTTGCAGAATGAAAATCTGGCAGTAAAATACAGCTGGAGGCAAACAGCAACCTTGGCCAGGAAGAAGAGAACCTTGGTCTGACTAGTTAACTTACGAATAAACCTCTATAATTCAATTTCTTGGAAACTGATCACATTGCCTGGATTATTCCCTTTGCCTACATACGTGCCTGTCTCCCTGCATTCCCAACATCTGTGCTTTTACAAAGAATGGAAAAACTGTTTCTTTTCTAACTTGAAAACAGAGGGCCATGTAAAGTACTTCTCCAGTGCTCCCAAATGGACAGAAAAGGCAAGCATTATCCTAACAACGGCCCCTTATTCTAATTAAACACAAATGGCAAATGCAGATATTTCAACTCTTTAATTTTCTCTTAATTTGTTTTTCCTCCAAAGGAGGAATACAGTGTTAATTCTAGAAAACATTTCTCTGCTCGTGTGATCAAAAATACAACACTAGCACCACCTATGAGAGCCACCAGTAAGGGCAGAAACGAGCTCTCCATTCTAAGTCAGACCCCTGCTCTTTCTAACCATGCCTGAGCCAGACTCCACGAGACGTGCAGCCTCCCAAAACTGAGTATGACACGAAAGCATTTGCCGTATGTTTGAAGAAAGTTACTCTTTGAGGTCCCCTTCTGTACTGGCACTATTCCTGGGCCACATACACCCACATTCAGGTCTTTTCTAGCCTGTTCTCCCTGCTCCCTGAGAGGCCATTACTAGGTTTGGACAATAGATTCTCAAAAACTGCAAACTGCCCTGTCCTTTCTCTTCCCACAGCACAATTTGGTCTAGGACCTTATCGACGACTGGTTTTGTATGTTCCCTAGCTCCCCTCACTCACATCTAGCACATTTTCACAACTGCCATCATCACCATCACCTATTAGCAGGCCTGATGCCTTTTAAGCTTAACTTTACATGTATTATTTTATTTTATTCTTACAACAATCCTAACACATAAGTACTACTATGTCAGCCCAATTTATAGAAAGGAAATTGAGGTTCAGAAAGATTGGAGTAATTTGCTCAAAGTCACTTCTGAGCAAACAACTAAGCCAACTCTCAATATAGAAAAGTTATATGCATTCTGACTTGGTGCGTATAACTGTGACACTCTAAAAATAATAACCGCCACAACCCAAAATAACGGTGGCATTTACCATTCATTGAAAGTTTCCATAACTACCAGGCAACATGACTGTTGTAAATGCTTTAAATGTGTTAACCAGTTTGAGCCTCACAATGACTGATGGAGTCTATCATTGTTTTCCTTCTACACATCAGGAACCTGAGGCTCCACAGCACTCAGGCAGCCTAAAGTAAACAGCCAGAAGTTGGAGGAGGCAGTGTTCAAACCTAGGGAGATTCCGTGCATTTGTGGAAATTCACTTTAAAATAATAAGTTTTGCGACATATAAATTACACCGAGGAGTCTAGTTTTTAAAAAATGTACTCAATCATACTCATCAGTAACTTCAATAGCTACAGCTCACTTCTCACAGAGAATCTCTTTCTTTAAATAATCTAATCTTCGCCCACAGTTCTATCATTTTCTTGTTTTCTGAAGGTCGTCTCTTTTTGATGTCAACTTGTCTGTATCATGTGTATCCAACTATTTCTAAAGCCACGATTAAATTTTTTAGTGACTAGTACACATTTTCTGAGGTGTTAATTCTAGGCAAATATTTAATCATAGGAAGTCGACAAAGCTGTTGTTCACACACTGTCTTGCCACTACAGAAAAGGGCTTCATGGTAAAGCTAAAACCACCTACCAAATAGAAATATTTCTTTCCCTTGACAATACAGGTAGCAAAGCGGCAACTGATAGAGAGAAATACATGTTACAATCTGAGACTTGGAGTGAATTTCAACAAGCAAACTGGCAAAAAACACACTCAAACTCCAGAGACTGTTCTTATTTTAGGAACATACACACCTCCTGTTCCTGAAGATCAGGAAAGCTAGGGTAAATTCGAGCTTGGATTGGGGTGCTCTAGCACCATAAGTCAAGCAACAAAGGCACCTGCAACACCACAAGTCTTTTCAGGATGTTTTTCCTAATAAATTTCTAGGAATGAAGCGAAACGGTATTTCACTTAGCAAACCCTTCTTTTCAAAATGTCACGATTTAGTTATCAGCATACAAATGCTTTGAATGGCTAAGTAGGTCATTGTGTTCACCGGGCAGATGTCAGAACTGGTTGCCGGATGATGAAAGATATAACCCTGGGCTGTTTTTTATTCCATGTATACAAGACCTAACTCACACATTGGAAGCTCTGCTGTTTACAGCTTTACTCTAAGGATCTAGGAAGCTCCAAGAAATTCCCCTGTGCCATTTACACCTCCAGAACTTAAAATAACCTGCGCATATGGTAACAGGAGCCTGACAGACACAGTCCCGCACCCGGCCAGGCGGAGTGGCTGTGACACAGTGCCGTGTCTCAGTGGCATTCTGTGCCTGCTGCCTTTCAGCACTTGTATTTAGTAATGTGAACACATGTGTACCAAGCCCCTGTAGTCCTTGTCCTGCTGATCCTGTCCCAAAAGGAACTGTCACTTCCTGGGTAGGGACTGTGAAATGATGTTCCCGGTGCTATCTGGGCAGATCTCCCTACAGCCCATCTGAGCCTCAGATCCCACTTACCACTCTCCGAGTCCCGACTGTGCTCTCCCCCGTAACTTCTGCAAAAACCTTCTTCCCTTTACTCTTGTCTACGCTCCCCAAGACCTCTCACCATCTCTGCATACCTGTGATGTCCCTCAAACTCTCGGGACACCCCCATGCCTCCTGCAGACCCTCTCTGCGGGCTCATCGCCTCTGTGGACACCTGCGTGAACCCCGATTTCCTTTGCAGACCCTCCCGGGGCTCCTGACGGCCACTCTTCCCGTTAGGCTCCCGCAGACACTGGCTATTCCCCGCGGCCCATCACCCTAGCGGACCCTCCTCACGTCGCCCACAGTAGCTGCAAACCTTCCCCAGCCCCCGCCCCCCAATAACGCCGCCCCGCTGCCAGCCCCGGCCGCAGACCCCGGCCCCCGCCCGCCCGCCCGCCCGCCGGCCCGCGGACTCACGGGGCATCCGCGTGAGCACGTTGCGCGGCGCCTTCCGGCTGCGACCCGGGCCCCGCCTGGACGCCCCGGCCCTGCCGTCCTCTTCCTCCTTGACCACCATGAGGCGACGGAGGCGCTGGATGCGCTCGGGGTCCGGGGCCGGGGCGTCCGCGCGGCGGCGGCTGCGGCTGCGGCCCGAGGCTCCGGCGGCGGCGGCGGCGGCGGCGGGGCCCCCCGAGCCCGCGGCCGCGCCCCGCGCCCGCCCGCGCCCGCCGCCCCGGGAGCCGGTCCTGAGGAAGCTCTCGTACGCGGCCAGGTTGTTGAAGCAGGGGGCGTTGGGGTAGGGGATGGGGGGCAGGCGGGGCGCGTACAGGGCCAGCAGCGGGTCGAAGCTGTCAGAGCTGACATCCAGCCGCGGGCTGGGCGGGCTCGCGGGGCTCCCGGCGCGAGCCGACCTCGCCCCCCGCTCGCGCTCCTCCATGTTTGAAAGGCGCGCAAGCCGGGGCCGATGGGAGGAAGCCGCGGGGCCGCCAGAGGGCGGCACTGCGCAGCCGCGGCGCGAGCCGCACCACACCGGCGCGGCCGCCGGGGGGCAGCATCGGTCCGCGCTGGGCCCTTCCCGGGGTGGGGGTGTGACGCGTGGCCGCGACCCTGGACAGGTGAACGCCAGACTAATTAACGCCTAGTCTGCTTTAATGAAGTGTTTCCCGTCCGTGCCATTATCACTTGGGGTGTTTGTTAGTACCCCGGACTTCCCGGGGTGGATCCCGAGATCTGCAGGTTAACGTCCTATAGGGCGTTTGCCTGTTCACTGGTACTGCAAGTACTCCTAGCTTGCACGGGAGGGAAGGGGCGGGAAAGGGACAAGGAGGGTCTCAACTTACTTTCATCCTGAGTTCTACTGGGGGAAGGGGTGGGCTTAGCCTTCCTAGGCTCTGGTTATTTAGCCTATCTGGGCTTTTCCGCAGCAATCATATTTCCTTTACCTATGAATAAAGAACTTTGTACTAACGATGGAGAAATGGAAAAATAATTTTATTGCTATTTTCTGAGCATTGGTAAAGAACTGGAGGAGCTGTGGGTTCCCAAGATCTGATCTGTTCCAGTTCTTAGTCTCTAGCCTCCCATCATCACAGTACTTGTTTTCGGAAGTTAAAATGAGTCGCCTCTAGATACAATTATTACTTCCTTACCCAATAGGGCAGAGATGTTCCCAGTCCCTTACAAACCACAAAAAAATCACTTTTCTAACTGCAGTTGCTCTCCCAGTTGTCAACCAGCAATAACTGCATTGGCTGGGTTTTTTTTTGTGTGTGTGTGTGTGTGTACTTGTTTCCTTAACGTTTGGAAAAGACCAAGAGAATACTACAGAGTACCTTAGAGAGCAAGATAAAAATTAATATGCAACAGTGAATTACACTCCGGAATGAATAAGTATCTCCGCAAAGATAAAAACAATCAGGCAGCAACTTCTAGGCATTTTAATGGTTTCTTTATGGCACTGTATTAAACCCAGTTTATTACTCTGTTTAAAACCTCTGCCTGAACAAAACTCAAAAGCTACAGAACCACCTGGATTTATTATGACAAATATTTTCTCTAGGTCGATCAGTCCTGAAACTTTATAGCTTAATGTCTACTTGCTTGTAAATAATTGATATAAAATGCTATCAATTTACCATTAAGTGAAATTTTCCAATCAAGAGTTACATTGTTTTGGGCTCATTAGACTATCAGGATGCTGAGGGCCTTGTCTGTCCAGTTATACAGTACATCAACCATATGCACCAGAAGCCCAAAGTCTCTGGGGTAAAACATCAGACTGCTGAGCCCCAAATATTCAGGGAACCTCAAATGGGCATTTAGACTTCCAAGTAAGTGTTTTTCAATCTCTTAAGTGTGAACCTATTGTGATAAGGGGATAGCATCTTGGCTCACCAAAGAGAGACACAGAAGTCACTTACATACTGCTTGTATTATGAAATAAATCAGTAAGAAGGCCCAGGGAGTTTTAGTCCTTGTTTTTTTCTCAAAGAGATTTTTGCAATTAGTAAACCCAAACTCTTCCTGGGGAGTGGGGGGAAAACAGGAAGGAAAAAAGTAGCATCGACAGATGGGGTGTCAATTAGTGAAGGATGAGGCCAGCCGTTGCTCTTTGAAAAATACATTTTCTTGGCTATAAATTCTGCAAAGCAAGACCAGGCATTGGGATGTGGGCGGTCTCTTAAGTAACTGTTAATAGACCCAAATAATCATTTTCCTTTAAAATATGAAACAAGGACAGAAGGAAATGGGAGTTATTCCACCACAAACCCATGACCTCCCATTTCAGAGTCCAACAGCTTGGTAACGTGAGACTAACACTTAACACTGATGTTCTCTGCTGTTCTGATCCGATCTCCATTGGCCCAGAGGCACGTGGAGCTACTGACTCCACTAACATCTGCAGCCTGGGACCCAAGAGGCATCCGACCCCTCTGCTCTGGAGTTCAAATTTCATTGTTCTGATTATATACAGACTGTTTATGAATCTTTTCACCAAGTCCAACAAGAAGACAGCTTTTAAAGCAAGTACCAGAGAAGACAGAAAGTACATGTGTCTTCGTTCTGATTCATTCCTTGTCACACATCTTCTTCTCTCGCAGACATCCTCCTCTGCTTGGAAAGAGGCAAGTGCCTTTGGAAACACTGGCCCTACCAAGAAGATGCTGTTATCATGCTGAGGATTCCATAAAAGCAACACATGGGATGTGTACACCAAGGATAGCGAAACCATTACTCATCTGTTTAGCCAAAGCTGGAAATTTGGAGACTGACACAAAGCCCTTCGTCTTCCCCTAGAATTTGCAAATTCAGAGGCATCAGACAAGTATGAAGCTATATTTGTGGCTCTGCCAAAGGTGAAGGCATACGCATGGGTGGCAGACATGAGATTCTTCAAAATCACTGGGTTCTCCAGGTAAGAGCAGGTGGGAGAGAGTAAAGTTTGGGCTCCTCTTCTATCATAGATGAAAAGAGCTGATGGGGTTTTGTAAGACTTATGTCACAATCTAAAAATGATTCTTCCTACAAGGCATGAAATAGTTCTTCCTTTATAAAAATAGTACCGCGATAAAAAAGAAAAAACTCAAAGAAGTCATGTTCTGTCATCACAAAAAGAGGGATTTGCTCAAGCAGGACAAAAGGCATCACCCTACCCATTCCTTCCATCCTGTTCCCTCCCACCTGGAGTCATGTCCCCCCTGACCCAGTGTTCTGGATGGCAAGAATGTTAGGGTCACCAAAGAAAAGCGATCTGGGGGCCTTGCATGGTTAAGTATGCCAAGATTAGAGTGAAGGGTCAGCTGTTTTCATCGAGGATCTCTGGGTGTTCTTTCCAGAAAGCATCACCAATGATATCGCAGTGCAGAGGCACCGGCCTCATCCTGGTCCGTGTCACTGCCATCTTTTTGCCTTCTATTTCTGCTGGCAGTTTAACTTCTTTTGTCATGACTTCATCCACCTACAGGTAAGAGCAGTGACATGACACTGTTACTTGACAGTGGGTTTGGGAGAGAAGGGGAAGATGTGGGGGAAACTTGCTTTTATCTCCACCTGACTGCCAGGATTTTCAACATACACCAGTCTCTTTACAATTACAAACATGTTAATGCAGGTTACGTTACTCAAGTTTAAAAAGTAATCTCGGAGCCAGGCATGGCAGCACACACCTGTGGTCCCAGTGCTCTCGGAGGCTGAGACAGGTGGCTTGCAAGTAGCCCAAGAAACTTTGTGACTTAGCAAGGCCCCATCTCAGAAAAAGAAAAAAGTGATGTTGGGAACAAAGAAGGGATTTTATGTGCCTCCTCAGCAATGACTGTAGAATTAAAAGTATTTCTCTTTTCCCACCTGCATTAACAAGTTCCAAGTCATGCCAGAAAACAATTGTGTTTTGAAAATAGTGGATTAGTCAGAGCTGAAGCTGCCTGTGGAATGACCAGCTCTGTACATACCTTTCAGAGAAACACATTTAATACAGAAGGGAATGAATTAGTAAGATCATTAATCCAAGAGCTGATGAGACAGAAAATTTTGGAAGGAGTTAACGATTTGGGTAAATGCACAGACTCATCACAGAACATTAAGGTAAATGTGAATGGAGACTCTTCGGAAAGTGACAAAACCCTTACACACAACATCTCAGTGCTTCAGATTATAGCTGTCAGGCACAGAGGAATTTAGTGATATTCTCAGTGTGGGAGAAAGAATTCTGAAATGGTCTATGAATGCAAAAATTCTTGTATGTTTACCGTACCCGTTTTGAAAAAGGGTATGCTTGATATGCTGAGAGCTTATGGCACAGAAAAGTAAGTGTGCTGATTTTAAAATCCTATACTACTTATATCTATGCAACGGGAAATTGTAGGCTACAACTGACTGACAAAGTCAGCACCCAGACTAACCCTTCTGAAAGGACCTAGCTCATGTGAACAGCGAGAGTCCTATCAGCAGGCGGGACCAGGGCTGGGATGGCGCAGCTCTTCCTCTGCCTGATCCCCATTGTCCTTTGAATGTCACAGGATTACCTTCTGCCATATCAGCACCGTCCCTTTCCTGTACATCGGTGGCTCGTTGTTGTAGTTGACATTGAATTGAGAAAACAAAATCTCATTCTTGTCTGCTGCCAGGGTTCCCTGCGGAAATAGGGATAGACGTAGAAAGCTTTGGAGGACACGTGAGTGCTGCCTGCCTGTATCACCTAGATCCTGACAAACAAGGAAGGGGAAGGGTGCGGCCTGTCGGCCCACTCTGATGGCTTCTCACTGGAAGTACAATCTGAATCTTATTTGAATATCCACATTCACAACATTCTCCTCTGTCACAAACGCTGGCTCCGTAAGTTCAGGCTGTGAGGAGCTGGAGTAAATAGTAATTAAGTATCTCATATGCACATGAACTTGATGTTCAGCTTTCTTTTATCGTTACACAATCTCCATTTTAAAGATGAGAAAACTGAGCTTAGGAAGATTATACAAAATGTCCAAGGTTGAAGGCTGTCTTTATTTTTCTACTAACAACCAAAACATAAACTTGGCTCTTTCAAACTGGATATATCCACTAGTATTCCAATTGTTGTGATGTAGGTCTCCATTCTTAGTACACTAACAAAAGCAATCACTGACTAACCAGGGATTGTCCTTGGGGGGCTATTACATTATACCTCACTTTGGAGTCACTTGTCCCGCAAGTAGCATGTTTCCTACTAAGAAACACCAGTATTTACCGAGCACTTAGAGTGCGTTTCCTATGTCTACATTTTACATGTATCATACCATTAAATTCTCACCATAAACCTATGAGGTAGGAACTACTACTTTCTACATTTGACTTACAAAGAAGCAAGGCAGACAGTAAAAAAAAAAAATATTAAACAGATGCATGATGCCAGTATGACCTGATCCCTACAAAGAGCATGCACTCTTAGTACACACTGGGATTCTAGACCCAAGAAACAGGCAGAGGCCCGAAGAGACAAGAAAGAGCACATGCCCTGTAAAGAGGACACTCAGTACCCAGCTGGAGCTGAATGCCAGCAGGTGGGAATGCACCGCCACTGTCAGGCGATCCCCTTCCCGGCTGAGGACACTGACAACGTGGGAACTCACCCAGGCTTGCAGAGCAAGCAGGCAGCACAGCAGTTACCATTATAATTTGTACTTTCCAAAATGAAGCTATAAAGGGAGCTAAAGATGAACAGAGAGGGAGCATTAAAAAGGTATTCAGGGGACACTACAGCAAACTGCCCCAGCTAAGCAGTAAAATCTTTATACCTTTAATCTCTCCTGGGCTTGTTCGGGTGTTAATCCAGATTGTTGTATAAGTGTCCAGTAAACTGTATTATAAAGATTATTGATGTGACCTGTGAGGAGAACAACACAGTAAAGTTCACATGCACAGAATCTTTGTTCAACGGTCACACTGTAAGGAGTCCTGCCCTCTCCACTTTACAGATCTCACAGACATGCAGGGATTTACCTAGTGTCCTCCACAGAAAACAAAGCGAGGAAGCAGTTAGGCAGGAAAAACATCGCCAAGTAACTTTATTTGGTGATTTCATTTACATTTTACATGAATCTGTCAACTCAGGTACTAATTTTAGAAATGCATTGAAAGTTGTTTGACTTACATCATTCCGATCTGTGTAAAAGTTACACAGATATCATCACAGCAGCTTTAAGGCAGGGCCTGCAATCCTAATACCTAATGAGACTGCGTGAATATAAATCCACAAAGCAGTGTGCGACCCTGGGGAGCAACAGGGAGTGGTACGGACTGTAAGACTGCTTCATGTAGGCGGGAAGGCAGCTGCCATGGCACAGGCTATGCCAGACACTAAGTGAAAACCCAGACTCGTAATTGAGACCTCTCTGATTTAAAAAAAAAAGTTTTTAAAAACTATTTATATGAAATCTCCCAAATTTTCAAGTATTTTTAATTAATTAAAATTGTTTTAAAAATACTGCATTTCAAACAAAACATTAGGAAGCCGGTAAACTGACTGACACATTTTCTTCACAGAATTTGTGGTTGAAATCTGTTTATTTGGTGCCACTTACAATCTGCTTGCCGCCAGCTGAGGTAGTCCTTTAAGGTCTGGTTGCTAGGATACAACACAACTCTTCCATCAAAGCCTGGGGGGTACAGGAGGGGCTGATCCTCAAAATAATCCCGCCAGTAAAACACATAGCTGGAAGCGAACTGGGAGGCCACGTGAGTCATGAACTTACTTGCAAACATAAAGTATATTGGAACAAGAGAAGAGAAAATGTATGATATTAATTCAACACCATGATATGGTCTGTGGATACAACAAAAAGGTTACAATAACTTCTTAGAAAGCCAAGGAATAAAAAAAATTTGGCTAAGAAAATCTATTTTAATATCTTGGCTATACATTTTAACCTTCTAGTCTCATTACTTGCTCAAATTTTTCTGTGTAGGCTGTGATGTAAATTTACGATTCAATAATCTTTTTGTCTTTTTTTGTATTGTTGTTAGTCTTGGAAGAAGGTAATTGCTTTTTCTTTTTTTTTTTTTTTTCTTTTTTTACCGGTACCAGGGATTGAACTCACGAACGCCTGCTTGCAAGGCAGGTGCTTATGCCGCTGAGCTAAATCCCCAGCCCCCGAAATTGCTTCTTTAAAAATCACACTAAGATATGTTTTGTGTCCTATTAAGAATTTAAAAATACTGCCAAATTAAACATCAGATTTCTCCACTTCATAATGAAATCTTCATTCCATAAAAACTTAAATAATATTGAAATGATAGTAGAGACTGACACTGGCTAAAGCTAATGTATGAGTCAATCATGTTACATTTTTATGGTGTGTTTCTTTTCTAAATGTTCAATGCCAGATCAGTTCAGAAGCTCAGCTGATAAGGCTCTGAAGGAAAACAATGAGATAAAACAAAGTCTACAGAAAGCTCAGGTGTGAGATGCAACGAATACAGTCTAAACAAGAAGTACACATTCACTCTGCAGTTGCAAATCCTGCAGGCATCATCTGTAGTCTAAAAGCCAAGAAATACAGATGCTGGTAGGAAACAACCGAAGAAAGGAAGCAGCCCACAGGACTACCTGGCTCTTCTTTTAAACCAGTTGCTCTTCTGCTTGAACACAAAGCTGTATTCGTCACTCTGTCCATATGCAATCACAATATCTTCCAGTTCTTCCATTACAGTCTGAGCACATTTGGTCATCAGGTGGAGAGCACGGCTGTCATTAGGTTTCACAAAGTTGTGCTTCTCAGCAAACCTTCGTGGAATAAGAGAGAAAAGAGTGTGAATAGAAAAGTGTCACTAGCAACGTAGGCCAGTGAGGTTGATTCTAAAAGGAAGACCCTGTAACAGTGCTACTACAAGCTACAACCCAATCCATTTCCTTAAGAAATGTATTTTATAGGCTGGGGATATAGCTCAGAGGCAAAAGCACCTGCGAGTTTGATTCCCAGTACAAAAAAAATGTAGCTTTTTACTTTTATTCTTAAGGGACATACTTGCTACACCTCAATTTCTTTTTCTATGAACTGGGGACACATTAACCTCACTGGGTTGTCCTGAAGACTAAGGGAAGATTTTAAAAAGGGTAATTATGCCTGATTCCTACTAAGTGCTCAATACATCTTACCATGGTTATTAGTAGTAGCCTTTTAAAAAGTTAAATTCCCATTTTCCTGTTATTTTTTCTATAATTCATTTTATGTGGTCTGTTACTGGCAGTGAAACAACGATATTCTGTACGTTGTTACTCATTGCAAGACTACGCAGACCTTTAAACAACACTCAAAGTTACCCAGCAGAACAGCAAGGCTGTTAGCTTAGGGCTTAAGTAGGCACCAGAGAGTGATTCTCTCCGCCCTCCTCATCCTCCATGAATCCCAGGTCCTTGTAGTCTCTGATCCCTGTTCATTTAGATGGGGCCTTTTCGGTTCAGCTCCCACCAAGGGAGCACACTGTCCCTTGCAACTACTCTAACCATCTGGCTTAAAGAGCCTAGGCACGGTCAGCCCGGCAGGGGGGGACGCTCAATGCCGAGCGCTCATTGGCTGCCGTGTTACTTGGGTAACCACAGAGCTTGAGCAAGTGTGGGATCCCGGAAGCGCCGGCGCATCCCGCGGTACCCTGCCGAATCAGCTCACCGATGGAAACTCCTGCCATCGAGCCTCACCACCACCCAGCAGTGAGGGAGGCAGGTGTCGTCAGCCTCGAAGTTCCGCACGTATTCAAACTTGCTTTTTGCCATGAGCACTCCCAATCTCAGGCACCGTCTCAGAGCCAGATAAGTAGGTGCCAAGCAATACCGAACCTTAAAGGAGCCGGGAGGCCACATGCAGACAGCGGGAAGGGAGGGGACTAAGTAGTCCCGCCCCGGAAGTTCCGGCTTCTCTTGGGCCGCTCTAGCCACACTGTGGGTCATCTCTCTGGTTTTTCCTTATCTTGCTTCGGTGTTCTTCAAAACAGGAAGAGAGACCGTTTTTCCGCTTCATACTGTGCAGCCAGCTCTCTTTACCTCTCACGTTTTTGAGAACGTCACACTCAAGGCTTTTAAACTTTTCTGACCAAATGTGAAAGTATATATTTTTTCTCTTTCTAAATAGGATTCACTCACTGTAGAAAATATGGATACAGTGAATTAAGATGTTTTTCTGATTCTTCAGGCTCTTTTCTCTATGTATACAAATTCAAACAGGGAACATATAAGAATCTCCCACTTGTACAGTTTTTATATTTTTTTCAAGGAGCTGGATTATTTTCTAATGTCATTTGATTAGTAAAGTGGAAATTCTAAAAGAAAAATAGACCCTTAGTTTTCCAGAGTATATGTATACTGCGTTCCACCATTATAGACAATGATGTACTGATTTGTTGCTAGTGTAAAATGGTACCTATACAACCATCAGGTGACTCATTTAGGACTTATTACGTATTTACATTTTTTATCAAGAAAAATACAGTAAACCATATATAAGGCATGTAGTGAATAGTGATCAACCCCTAACTTTGGTGGTTTTTTTTTTTTTTTTTGTCTTTTTCCTTTTTACTGGTACCGGGGATCGAACTCATGACTGCCTGCTTCCAAGGCAGGCGCTTATGCCGCTGAGCTAAATCCCCAGTCCCTCAACCCCTAACTTTGCATACTTTAGGTCATGTCTGGTATTTCCATGGAGTCATAAATCTACCAATATGCCATCTTTCCTTCTTCTTGAAGTCAGCTTTAAGTTATTACTCACCATTGACTTCTTCAACCTCCTCTCTCCATACTAACCAGAAGACAAGCAAACCTTATTTCCTTCAGGAACCCTATATTTATTAGATGCTTTATTTACAGGGGACTCTTGAATTATTACTGGACTCATATACAAGCAACTTGAGTTAAGACTAGTTTTTAGGTTTAACTTCTAACCAAAGTCTTGATTTATGAACCAAATGCTGGTTGCTTGTGCAGTTATAAACAAAGTGTCAATGCCAAAAAAGCATGTGTAAGCATAGTAAGCATCACTCTGACCCCAGATGCATGTTTTTGGACATGATTTTGCTTGGTATTTTTTATAATCATTATGATTACTGCTATCAAAAAGGCCCCCAAGGGCCAGGGATTTAGCTCAGTGGCACAAGCACTCCTCTGGCAGGTGTAAGGTTGTGAGTTTGATCCCTAGTTCCAAAATTTAAAAAAAGCCCCCCACAGGCTAGAAATGAAGGTCAAGGAAGGAAGGAAAGGGAAAAAAGCAATCACGATAAAAAGAAGCAAATAGCAAATTGTCGAGAAATATGAGAGTCGTGCTTGTGCGATAATCTCACTAATATGTATAGCATGTTGAAATCCATCATCTCAACAATCTTAAAGAGAAAAGATTTGTGTAAGGAACCTGGTGTTGTTAAAGGTGTTACTCAAATTAATAAGTCACAATTAGCAGTGTTAGAAGACGTAGAAAAGCTGTTAGTGTGGATGAAGCAAAAAGGCAAATGGCAGGTTACAGTCTAGTTGAGCCTATAGTTTGTGAAAAAGCTAGGGGATATAGATGCAGATCTCATAAAGGATCATCCACCAGTGAGTGATAATGGTGAAACATTCTGTGCCAGTTAGGGGAGGTTTCACTGAAAATGCCTAGTGTCTATCAAGGGCCGTTAGACAGAACCTCTGTAGGGTCTCTCTGACTGCTGATTGACAACTACAACCCCCTGCAGCCTGCAGGAGGCAGATAAGTCATTAAGCATTCTCTCTCACAGAAGTTAGGAGTACTTCTTCAGAGGAAAGAACATTGTAGGCAGTTGAGTTAGATAAAAATATTATAGGCAGGCAGATAGGGCTGGCCCCTCAGAGAAGCCAGTGCAGAAGACCAGGTATCTTGCAGCCTTGGAGGAGACAGACATTTCCTTCTGTGGCCCAGATCTCAAGACAAAAGACAAAACAAAAGCAGCCACACCCTGAGGGTAAACACAAGAGATTGGATATTTTAAATAAGTATCCATCACCTGAAGGAAACCAGAGGTGCCACTAACCCGACCCCCTACAGGCAAAGGCTCTGCTATATTTGTGTCCACTTGCTACATGACTTGCTTCACCATTTACTCCCAATTTAATCAGTTTTAATGGAGCAATTACACCAAAATCTTACTGGTTGACTATAGTTCTGTCCCACCTCATGCCCACCTGCCTTGCAGGTTCTCACTTTTCCCCAGTTTGGACCTGCCTTACCTTGTGATTTTGCTCTGTAAATATCTCTAGAAAAGGCAGGGTACTTGGCAGCCCACTCAGAACCCCTTCTTTCTCTCTCTCGGACAGAAGCTTTCTTTCTCTCAATAAATATATTCTGTTCTTAAACAACTTTAAAGTGAGAACTGGTGTTCATAGTGTAATTACACGTGGTGAAGCAGCCAGTGCTGATAGAGGGTGGCTGAAAATTACATACACCACTTCAAAATGATGACACAGAGAAACAGCATTTGTTCTTATCAAGTTTTCAACTGTAATGAAACTGGCCTTTTTTTGGAAGAAAATGCCAAGAGAACATACATTATCCAAGAAGACAAGAAAATGTCAAGCCACAAGCCTATGAAGGATAGGCTAACTTTATTACTATGTGACAATAGGAGTGATGACCTCCAGGTAAAGCCTGTCTTGGTTTATCACTCTGAAACCCTTAGAGTGTTAAGACGTGAAGAATACGCGAGGGGTCATGTGGAGATCTAATGTAAAACCTAGGCAGTGGTACAGTTTTTGAGTGGGTCGGGGAGGCTTTCTGTCCTACTCTTAAGAATATGCAGAGGACAAAAGTTTACCAGTTAAGAATCTCCTCCTCATGCATAATGCTCCTGCTCACCTTTGAGATTTGGAAGAAGAATTGGCTGAAGAATTCTCATGGCTCTCAGTTGAGTTCTTCCCATCTAATATAACTCCTCTACTGCAGCCTATGGACCAACAGGTTATAGCTAACTTTAATAAACTCTACACCAAGGAGCTGTTCCTATGTGCTTCCAAATGGTCTCAGATACAAATTTAACTCTTAAAGAGCTCTAAAAGAACATTATAGCGTCTTTTCCTGTGTAGGACTAATTGAGAAACACTAATTAAGGACACTGAGATCTGCCTGGAAGAAAGTATGACCTAAAATTACACAGGAGAGGAAATTTTAAGGCTGTTCAGAGGAGTCTGAGACTTCAATTGACGCTGTTTAGTGACACTGTCAGTATAGCAGAGTCCATAGATTTGCAGGTGGATAGTGATGATACTGAGGAACACTCAGAGGAGCTGTCCACAGGGGAATTTCAGAACTTCTGTCTGAGAATGGAGAGTGGCAGCTGAGGAGCTTTGCGAAGAGGAGAGGGAGAATCAACAATCAGTGCAGCAAAGTTATGAAATAAAGGAAATCCTGAAAAAAATGGACAGAGCTATAAACGTTTGTAGAGAAGACCCAGTCAGACAGAAGAAAAACCAATCGTTGCATTCACTTAAGGACAACATCATGTCATACTATAGAACAGTGTTAAAGACAAGACAGAAACAGACAACCTTAGACCAGTATTTAGTTCTGAAAAGGTTGATATCTACTGAGTCAGAAATAGGTCTTAGTGGACCACAGACTCTCCCAAGGAGAGAAAGGACACCAGAGAGCCAGATTCCTGATATTCTTATGGGAAGAGAACTCTCCTTCCAAAGAATAGCCACCTTCCCCTTCAGCCTCCCTTCTTGTAAGCCAAAGATGTCAACTTGAATGGTGAGTACAGTAAAAAATTGTTGTTTCTGTTAAACTAGGCACATTTTATAACTTTTTGGTAAATACACAAGGGAAATTTTTTATATTTCTGGTGAATTATGTACATTATGCAACCTGTTTTTATTATCAGAAGTTTAGTTCAGAGGTACTTTGACAGCTTTGGAATGCATTATGGGTATTTCTATCGTTTCTTATGGGGAAAAATAGTCTTGACCTACAACCAACTCGACTTAAACAACCAGTCCTTGTGAATGAATTGAGTTCATAATGGGTTTCAGTATATGTTCTGTCTGTCTATCTGTCTGTCTGTCTGTCTGTCTATCTCTCTCTTTCTCTCTCTGAGACAGGTCTTATTATACTGCCTGGGCAATGCACCTGGCTTAGCCTCCTGAGTAGCTGGGACTACAGGCATGTGCCATTGTGATGGGCCATTGGGTAAATTTTAAATTTTACCTAGCAGCATGAACTCATGATTTTAAAATGTACTTCCCACATTTTGTCTGTTGGGCAGAGAAGAAATGACACTCTATGTAATCAATATCCAGTTCTTAATTTCTAAATTCCATTCCCCCATTAAACAAATTCCTTGGAGAAGTGACTAGCTTAAAGTTTTGTCACAAAAAAATTCAATCGTGTTGTGCCAGTGAGAAAAATAAATTCTGAGTGTAATGAAGGCCTGTCAGAAGATGATCCAACGTGAAGAGGCTTCCACTGGCCCAATTTGAGACACTCTGAGTATAAATAAGATGCTCTATCTGGGCATAGTGGCAGAGGCCTGTAATCTTAGCACTCTGGGAGGTTAAGGAAGGTGGCTAGAAAATTCAAGCCCAGTTCAAGACACAGTCTCATTAGTGCCCCAGTGAGACTGTGTCTGAAAAAATATTTTTTATTTTTGAGACAAGTTCTCACTTCATAGTTCAAACTGGCCTCAAACTCACTGTTTAGCCCAGGCTGGTCTCAAACTCATGGCAATCCTCCTACCTCAGTCCCCTGAGTGCTGGGATTACAGGTATGCACCACCATGCCCGGTCTCAAAACATTTTTATAAAAAGTGTAGCTCAGTGCTAAGGCCTTGGATTCAATCCTCAGTAACACAAAACCAAAACAAAACAACACCGCATATATACATACAGTAACACAAGGAGTAA